TCGAAAGCGCTGGAGACGCTGTAGTACATATGCCGGGCCTGTAAGTGGCGCTGTACTTCGGCCACAAAATACACCAAAAGCAGCGAAGAAGACTTCTCGCGCATGGTTGCCATGGTTGCCCTTCTGTTTATTCTCCGCGCTGGATTTAGCGAGATACCGGGACCTCGCTCGAAACACTGGGGCTATTGTGTCATCGTTATCAGGAAATGATCGTATAGGTGTAAACACGGAGCCGTTTGCCCCCCCCAGAGCATTTCCTTCGCAGATCTACCCGCCTAGGGACCCGTTATCGTTGTATGCGTTTCCATGTCGGCCTTGTGTGGCCGAACCGTCTATCTGATGGAGCAGTGTTTCTCAAACTTTTTCATTCCAAGGACCACATAACCAATAAAAAAAACAGACCACCTAACTCCACAAATATCCAAAATCACATTGTTTTTCTAGAACAGATTACAAATCGCCTGAAAATGGTACAAACATGTGTGACGAAGGTGTTGTGCTGGGCTATATCATGAAACTCAAGCACGCTCCATTGCGGAGATATTCCCGCGAGAGTGCGGAAAACTTAAATTTATTTATTTATTTCAAATGTGAAATGTTACCAATATACTCACGAACCACTAGGGGGCGCTCACGGGCTACCAGTTGTCCGCGGACCACACTTTGAGAAACACTGTGATAGAGAACTGTAGCAGATACGACACAGTGTCATGGTCTTAAAGTACCAAAAATAGATGTTTGACTAGTTTGAACATGGGTTTTTGACAAGTAGTTGTGTCACGTAATTTATGGCCATTCATGAGCGCACCAGCATTCACGGCGCTGCCTGAAGCATGACTCGGCTTTCTCCACTGAAGAATCATTGCTTCATCATTCACATGTATCAAACATACCTGAACTACGATACCAGGTGCGTTTGGATAAGCCGCCCACTCAGTTTTGGCTCCCAGTTGACGATAGCCTATGCCAGGGGCGGACTGGCCATCTGTAGAATCTGTAAGGATCGGCAAGGACCGTTGACGGCCGGCAGTGCCCTTCATTTTTTATGTTTTTAAACGGCATCATTGAAGTTGCGCGACAGATGTCCCCGCTGCGAGCCCCCCCCCCCGTTGACAATTCACAATCATTGTTTGGGTGAAGGAATGAAGACTGTTAATTGAAAGCTGAATAATGATCGATGGAATTGTTGAAGTACCGACACGGTGACTCGTTTTAAACCATACCTTCTTATTGTTTTGCAGCTTCCAAGTTTCTTTTCGAAGGTCCACGATTACACCATGTACTCCAACGATTTGGAATTCATCAACGGACTCATCAATACCAAAACCAGGTGATGCTGCTCGTGCAGTTTGGTTACTACAGATGGCTGTATACATGTCTCCACTGTGTTGGTCATTCCTCTGTGCCCCTGTTACTGTGTGTTGTAGAGGCCTCCTGGTGTACCAGCTGACCCTCTCCCTGTGGCGCGTCATGTGTGTGTGTTACTACTCCAAGGCCCGGCTGGAGGTGCTGAAGCTCACTAAGCACTCTGAGGACGGCACAGTGAAGGCTCGCTGGAGGATCATCGGCCTGCCCTTCTATTCCCAGCTGCTGCGCTTCTACCGCAAAGACAAATCTCAACTGTACAGGTATAAACTTACAGTACTATATCTAAATTCACTGTTTACACAGCCTTCGCTTCATTAAATATGCAATAAGTCTTCGTTAAGTGTTTTATTTGATGTAAAAAGTGCTCCGATCAGGTTGATAACCAGTTGTTGGAAGCCGTATTTGCGGATTATTTTTGCCTCTTCAAGAGATTAGACAGTATCATGCACTGTTCATTTATTTAGAGGCAACATATCTCACTCCTTAATCCTCTTTCACACATTCTGCAATGAACTCTGTAGCTCAATTTTTCCACCTCAAGTTTAAATATTTTGTTGTACTATTGGTGGTCGATCAATAGGAGCACACTTGTTCTAAAGTATTTTGTCACAATGGTTTTAATTGCATCCAAATGTCTTCTTTTATAGGTCATATGATGCATTCTCTACTTTTTACATTGGACCGGATGGACTCATTCACTGTCATAAAGTTGAAACGGTGAGCAGCGAACTAGCGGATGTTCTGAGAGCAGGGGCTGACACATTTTTTATTTCCATAAATATTTCACCTGAAAGTTCTAGATGTAGAACCACCAGCTACATCTTTAGAATATTTCTTTCAGGCAATATATTTTTGGGGAAATATTGAGCAAAAATGTAATTAAAATATCTCAGTACTAGCTGATCGTCACTTCCTGTGTGGGCACAGCAGCAATGTGAGACAACACTACATGGTTGAAATGCACACACTTCACAAGTGTTTACAGTGAACCACATGGCAGTGTACTAGAGCAGGGGTTCCCAAACTTTTCAGCCCGTGACCCCCAAAATCACTGTGCCAGAGACTGGCGAAAAACGTTCACAGAGAAGACGACAAAAAATGTCCCTTGCACGAAGCAAGGTTAGACAAAAAACAAATGATCCCGAACACGAAATACCTTCACGGAGTGCGTTGAGGCGCAAGCTATCATCCAAAGAACAGGAGGGTTTAGGTAGCGCCTCACAGCAATCTTTAAAGGTCGTTTTCTCAAAATGAGTTTTTCCTCATGTTTCTGAGTGAGAAATGTCCACTTCAGTTGCATTTACATACACCAAACCTTCCAGTTATATCCCTATCAATATTCTGAAGGTTTTTACAGAAGCGTTTCTTTATATATCATTCATAGCCTGAATTAAATAACATTGTATACCTAAAAACATATTTTAGAGCTGTTGACAGTATTTTCTGATTTGTGATAAAAAGAGATATCCCAAATCCCTTCTTTAAAAACTTTAAATGCTAACAAAAAGAAACAAGAATTGGAATTTAGAATTGTGTTCCTGAAAGTATTAAAATATGCGCATATGTAATGAGATTATGGCT